ATGATAATAACCTCGGAACACTCCTCTTCATTCTTCTTTCTGTTCTCTTGGAAATTGTTTTTTTTTCCGTCCTCTATTCTTCTTCGGCTCATAGTCTGTACTTAACATGTATTCAACTGTTCACTTCGGTTGCTTCATCTCAGCGGCGACCTTTCTGATGCTGAGCCCGTCTTCTCTCTTCTTTTGGACCAAACTGATGACTTCTTTTGAATGCATTCTTCTTGAGGATTTTAATATGTTTTCGCAGTGAATGGTAATGATACTCAAATGTAATGGTCAGGGTACAATTTACCTGCAGAAAATTTGTATATTGTAGACGTTCGATGACTAAATCATTAAAAAACCCGGAATTTGTGTCATGTCCGAAAAATAGTGTCGCATAAGTTGAAGTAAAATTAAAGAAAACATGAAACGAAAGACAAACCCATCAATCAATTTTCCATATCATTAATGAACAGTTACTGCTGAACTACCTACTCATCGACACAAAAGCTCTTGGCAGCAAAAAACACCTTTAAGCACACTTTCCAAAGTGTCCCAGAAATAGTGTCGGCCCCCTGTATATATGTGTGTGTGTGTGTGTGTATAAATATGCATATGTTTATGCATATATATATATATATATATATATATATATATATATATATATATATATATATATTTGTATGTATGAATATAAATGTATATTTATTTATATCTATATATGTATATACATATCTATCTATCTACATATATTGTCATATATATATATATATATATATATTGTCATATATATATATATATATATATATTGTCATATATAAATATATATATATATATATATATATATATATATATGTGTGTGTGTGTGTGTGTGTGTGTGTGTGTGTGTGTATAATCTCATCTGATTATGCATGCATAATTCGTCATTGCAAACCGCATAAATGATGTGTGCGTTTATGTGTGCAAAAGATGCTCCAGACTCACTGGACATTTCAAAATACATAATGATCCCCCCACCTGAGAGGCCTAATCATAAGACAAGCCAAAATGTTGATTTAATTTGTTGTCTTTCGGCAAAACTCTGTAAGTCTCTCGCCGGATTCAGGAGCCTCTGTCAATCTGACGTTCGTGGTTTCATTCATTTATAAGTCAACCTGTCAGTGATGATCACCTACGTCTAGCGAGTAGACAGTTACCATAAATATGCACAAGCTCTCATAAATACACACACACACATACATATATATATATATATATATATATATATATATATATATATATACAGAGTGAAGTACTTTATGTATGAATTTACGTTGCTATTTTCTGATTCTTTAACCGATGTCCGTATAAATGATCGCCATAATTTTTATCAAGCGAGTCGATACAATTTATACTAATTCGAAAAAATATACAGGAAGTAATGGAAACTCGGTAATGAAAGTAATGAAAACAGCGCATTTACACATTTTCTTTCTCGTATTTTTCTCTTTTTTTCTTTCTCGTCGTTGCCTTTTTTTCTTTCTCGTATTTATCTCTTTTTCCTTTCTCGTCATTGTCTTTTGTCTTTCTCGTATTTCTCTCTTTTTTCCTTTCCTGTCTTTGTATTTATTTATTTCTAGTATTTCTCTCTTTCTCCTTTGTCGTCTTCGTCTTTTTCCTTTCCTGTCTCTCTCTTTTTTCCTTTCTCGTATTTCTGTTTCTGTTTTCTCGTCTTTGTATTTTTCTTTCTCGTCTCTCACCTTTTCCTTTCTCGTATTTTCTTTTTTCTTTTCTCGTAAATCCATTTCCTTTCTCGTCTCACTCTCTCTTTCTATTCTTGTCTCTCCCTTTTTTCCTTTCTCGTCTCTCACCTATTTCTTTCTCGTCTCTCTCTTTTTCCTTTCTCGCCTCTCACATTTTTCTTTATAGTCTTTCTCTTTTTCCTCAACTTTCTCTCACATACTTCTCTTTTTATTTTGTCATCTTTGTTTCTTTTTTTTTTTCTTTCTCATATTTCTTCTTTTTTTTTTCCTGGTCTTTCTCTTTTTCTTTTCTCATATTTTTCTTTTACTTTTCCCGTGTCTCTCTTTTCTCTTTCTCCTTTTTCTCTGTTTTTTTCTCGGCTTACGCTTTTTTTTTTGTTATTCTCTGTTCCTTTTTCATCTCTCGCAGAAATAATTTTCTCTCTTTTCGTCTGTTTGTAGTTAATATGTTTTTCTTTTTGAAAGTTTATCACACAACTAAATTTAAATCAGTATATATATTTTTTTCTTTTATTTAATTATTCAATCACTTGTTTGTGTTTTTTTAAAGTTTTGTTGGCATCAGAAATACAAATCCACAATTTTCAAATTTGACAACAGCGGACATTTTGTTGTATATTTTCCTTTTCAATAATTTTTTATGGACAACTCATTTCATAGTGTCAGGTGCCGAGTTAAAATTCCAGTCGAACCGTTGCATTCGCTTTCGAGTACATGCATTTCAGTGATATCCTTCAGTCTTATTATATTATTTTGCCATATTCTTTATAAATATTCTTCCACTGTGTTTGCCGTACATAAATTGGCCTGGGGAAATAAATATTCGTACACATACAATTTTTTTAACTTAGTGTATTTCCAACTAATGAATAAACATACTTTTCATATCATTAACTTGTACACAGATTTATAATAATCAAATATGCATAGAAAACAGAAAAAAATTGCTTCAATAGATATAAATACCATTTATCCATTTTAATGGATGAAAAAGTATTCGTACAATGGACATTTCTAATTTTAAAACTTTTAAATTGCTTTAATACTATAGATTATTCAAGTAGAGTAATTTAGAATATACCAGTAATGTTATCAGTCGATATTTGTTGCCTAAAAATACAAACAAAAAAATTTGTAATTGATATTCGTGCAAGAAGGTTATCTTCATGACAAGAGGTAAAGAATTGACAAATTCAAAAGACTTATTGTTAAGCTCTGGAAAGAAGGTAAAAGTGTCAGGAAAATCTCAGACGACCTGAATATTCCATTTACTACCATTAATTCATTCATTGGGACTAATAAAAAACTCAAAACTGTTTCAAACTAAAGAAGAACAGGATTTCTTCAAGATCTTCGAGGAAAATATATGCGTCAAATTAAACAAAATCCTCGTCAAGTGTCGCAGGATGACATGCTTTCATCAGGAATCTATGTCACTAAACGGGCTAGGAATGAAATTCATAGGAACAATCTAAAGTCACCACCCCCCTGGAAAACTATGCAGCAAGTGAAAGGACACAGAGATACTAGGTTGAATTTCGTTCGTGAACATAAGGACAACGAAAAATCCTTTTGGAAAACAGTATTATGGACAGACAAAACCAAAGTTGTGTTGTTTGGACGTAATTCTAGAAATTATGTATGGAGGAAAAATGTCCATGCCTTCAAACGAAAGAACACAGTTCCGACAGTGAAATTTGATGGTGGCAGGGTCAGTGTTTGGGGATGACTTTTCTACAGAAGTTACTGGTTTCATATCAGTAACAGATGGTAGAATGAATGGCGCAGCATGTCAAAATATTTTGGAAACAAATTCAATGATTGGATCTTCCAACAGGAAAATAATCCTAAGCACACTGCAAAATCTACGAAGAAATAACTTGCTGAAATGTAAATATCCTGAAAAGGCCATGTCTGTCTCCTGATGTAAGCCCTATCGAAAAATCTGTGGCGTTGTTTGAAAATTCAAATCCAATCGAGAGTTCCAACAAGTCTGAAGACCAAATACGAAGAAGAATGGAACAAAAAACCAACTAAAATTTGCAAATCATTAATTGAGAACTCGAAGAAGAGGCCGGTTGCTGTAGAAGCTAATAATGATGATTCTAAAAAGTATTAAATGAAGATTATGTATTCGTTTTGCTATTATACGAATATTGTTTCACCATTAAAATAGATACATGAGATTTATTTTTGTTAAATCATTTTTTCCTGTTTTCTTTGCATATTTAGTTATTATGCGTCTATGTACAATGAATTATATGAAAAGTATGTTTGTTCATTAGTTGGAAATACAAAAATTAAAAATTTGTATGTGTCGGAATATTTGCCCCCACCATTTTTCGAACATATTCTTCAGCTACATTCTTCAGTCGATTCTCAGATAAATTTCTCGGACCTTCATATTTTCCATATATATTTTTACATTCCTTAGACATCTTCCGTCGCTTACATTCCTTAGTTATATTTTCAATCATATACCCCCCATATTATTCGGTCGTATTCTTTAGCCATATTCTATGGCTATATTTCTCGGAAATATTCTTCAGCCATATTCTTCAAATGTATCTTTCCAGGATATTCGTCAGCTATTGTCTTAAACCTTATTCATCATTGCGTTATCTAAATGATGCCTTGATTTCATAAACTAGAGTAAGTAAATCTAAAAGTGAACTTTATTCCTATAAATATATATGAATAAAAAATATTTTGGCAAAATGCGGGAAGATTTTAAATTATTCTCATCTGATATAATAAATAATTCAGCAAATTGGCATCTGAGGTTAAAAGAAATCCCTGGAAAATACTTTGATGGCTCAATCAAAACATTTTGAACGCTTATGAATAAAAGATGTTTGGTTAAAGTACTGGTAAATGTAGCAATGAGCTCTAAACTAAGAAGTTTATAATTGTCTTTGTTTCGATTTATTTTTTCTTTAATCTAATCTGTGATATCATGATGAGGATTTATGAAATTAAAATATAATGCAGTTTCAAACTGAACTATTTATTTCGTCATTTGGGGTAGATTTTTCTAGTTCCAAGTGCAAGGTCTCTTCCTGTTGTCTCAGTTATTTCCCTTTAAATCAACTCTCCAATTTGTTGGTTCACCACTGCTGTGACCTGGTATTGAACTTACAATTCTTTGGCTCTAGACACTGGATATAACAAATGTCTGTATCTACTGGGCCATGTACTCGTGAGAAATTCCAGTCACCTGAAAAAGGCCGGAGCATACAACTGCCGAAACGTTGTGAATATGGCTATGAAGATCTCGATCACAGTCCGAATAATGTAAATAATGCAAGTAATCATAATACCTCATCTCTGAGATCCAATAATCTAAAGAAGGCCGGAGCGAAACGGCCGAAACGTTGTGAATATGGCAATGAAGATGTTGATAACAGTCCGAATAATGTAAATAATACAGGTAATTATAATACCTCATTTCCGAGATATAGAGAGATATTGAAAGATGGATAATATTAACCATTACCCTTACCATAACACACATTTAATCCTTGATATCTTGATTTCTTGGTGATATTTTTGTCATGATTGCGAATTAGTACTTATGTGACGTCACCCCGGGGTCGCTGCGCCAAATGTGACATCTGCTTAGCCGCGCCCGCCGTGCTGTTCTAGTCGCGGCGCCAATTGTGACGTCACCCCATCTGACTCCGCGCTGTCGCCGTCCTATCCTGTCCTGTGACGACCAATGATACTTGGTATTGGTCGCGGCACCAAACGTGACGTTCTAACCTTTTGCTGATTCGGATGGGAATCTGGTTAGATTCGGTATCAGCCTTGCCGTTCCCAGCTCGCCTCCAACGTCTGGTTACCGAAGTAACTGTTTTGACTTCTAGTCTAACCTACCCACGTTGCGATTTGATCTTAGGTAGACGAAATCAATCAGTCGCCGGACCGTAATGCAAGTCGAGTCCGAACAAGGGTAATACCGCACAAGTATATGTAAAAGAAAATATAGTAACAACTCGAAAAGTTCAAATGTTTTAAAAAGGAATAACAATTTTTTATATCTGGTTGCTGAATACAGGACTGAGTCTTTCTCCCAAACCGCTAATATGGATTCGTGACACTTTGTGTTTGTTAGGCGAGTCTTAACATCTTAAATTGTTCTTTTAAATCTTCAGGCGATATTCGTAAAACTTGTTTTGGTGGTGTGGTCTAAGTCGTTCTTCAAAAATAAATTGTTCTTGGTTAGAAGTTGAGGTCGTGATTGCGTAGATCTCAGTCAGCTTTCTGCGAGGTGGGTCTCATTCTGCAACTCCAACTCTAACCCAACGGCAAACTCAACTCCAACTCAACTCAACTCCAACTGCAAACTCCAACTCCGTCCACTCGCTGCGACTCTGCTTATATGGACGCCGGCCAAAACCGGGGTGGGCTTGTCGGGGTTTGAGGTTCCTTGATAATTCTAAATCCGCATTAAGAATTTTCTTTGTTTTTGGTCAGGAAAACCCATCAATTTCCATTTTTGGAAATCTTTTACTTTCTACTTTAAGGGAATGGTCCTCCCAATTTCTTCCTTTCTCATATGGGTATCTCACCGAATCCCTTCAGGGGGCGTCAACAGGCCTCCCCTCCTTCTTCATGGTTTACCTTCGCCTACCGCTCACGCCGTACTTCAGCCAATGAACTCTCAGCGGCGTAGGTGTTTGCTAATTATTGCTCAAAGAAAAAAAATAATTATCTTCTTTCCTTTTTTTTTTCTTTCTTTCTCTCTCTTCCTCGACCGGACCTCACACGATACTTAATCTCTATCTTAACCGAATCCCATCTGGAGTTCGTCCATCGAAACTTTTCGCCAGCGTCAAGTGGGTGGTTTAAGTGGACGTATTTGCATTATGTCGCTAATTAACTGTTCCGATAAAAGAGTTTTTTTTTTTTTATCATGGCCAGCTCTTGACATGAAACAGGTGCCTTTTCCAAACGACATCTCCGCAGATAGCTAATGGCCCAGTCTTTCATTCTTTGTAACTTGGGTGGTCCAACGGACATTTTGTTTTTCGGTCAGTGTATGACCTAATTAACTTTTATCTCTTAGCATTCTGTCCCGTAGGCCACTCGACCAATTTGAAAATCTCCTTATTGCCATGGGCAGAAGGCTATATCTTATTCGCCGCCCCGTAACATAAATCCGGTATCTTACTTTCTTCGCTAATGAGAATAAAATCTTTACCACTTTTCCTTCTTAGAAAAAAATAACATCGCTCAGTGTCTTTTCGCGATAGATTCTTATCACCTAATTTAATTCTCGCCTTTATTTTTCTTTTTTCACGCAACCCTAAATAGTGTCATACTTATACTTTCAATTGTTATTTTTGAGTAATCGTTAAAGACATGTTTATTAAAATGAGTGAAATATTCTACAGAAGAATATTGGTATTTATCAGAATAGAACACGAAAATAAGATAAGAGAACTAAACTAAAACAACCGCT